GTAGATGGAGTCAGTGACTTAGATTGACCAGTCCGATGTGGTAGGTGAGAAAAAGAGGCAAGTTAATGATGTCACCCGATTTCCTATCCAGCAGTTTTCTGGAACATCTTTCTCAGTGCATTTTGCATATTTGTATGTCTCTAAATTATTTAGTTGTACCAAACACACCAGAGAAATAAAGACTATGCCATATTATTGTTTTTTAAAAAAAAGGCAATTTACTTGACCTAGCACAGTTTATGGATGTAAAAAATAAGAGTAACGTCAAGAATAACATATGTGATGATTAACAATACCATGGTAAAGTAAGTTCAGGAATTGGAGTGTTTAGATATAGGTTTGAATTTCAGCTCCCCCATCTCAAGCACACAACTTGGGACACTTATTGCCCCTGAACTTTAATTTCTCAACCTGTAAGTTGGAATGTTTTCATTTAATACCAACATGTGTGCAGCTGGAAAGCTGCAGAGATCACCAGGCCCAAACTCCTTATGTTAACGAAGAGGGAACTTTGTCTCAAAGATACAAATGATGTTCATAATGATTCTTACTAATGGAGTTCGAATTAAAGAGCAACCTGCCTTCCATTTGTTATCTCTAACCAGCTTCTATTCCTCTTCTCCAAAATGACTCTTCCAAGCATCTACTCCCTCAATCCCCAGCTTGCTTCATCTCTCCTTCCCCTTCTTTATACCTCACATTTATCAGAGAAAATTTTCTATCCTGGAATGCTGAACCCAGACTATCCAGCTTCCCCTGATTGCCCTGAACCTAACAAATCCTGTAAACTCCAGCCATAACAAACTTCTTAGCATCCCCCAAACAGACCCTCCCTTTTACCATCTCCTGATGAATGCACCAGTCTTTTCTCCTTAGAGTGCATTTCCTCTAAGGCTGTCAGACTTCTGTTCATCCCTTAAGATCCAATTACCTCCTTTCAGATACCTTGATTGAAGAAGAACTTATCAATTCCTTTTCTGCACTCCCTCAACAGTCTGTTCATAAAAGCACATTGCAATCTGCTCCCCTAACAGCATAATCTGTTTTGCTCACTAGATCCTGGCATTTCTTAAGGGTGAGGATCAGATTTTGTTTTATTTATTTACCAATGTCAGCACTTAGCACAGTGTCTGGCACACAGTAATTGTTTTAGGAATAAAAACACTGGGATCTCTTGGCCTCTAATCCAACTAAGCTCTGTATGTTTGATGGAACTTAGTTGTGTGCAAGAACATGGATAGAGATTGTGGAATATGGATTATTGTAATAGTCAGACTAACAGGCCCAATTAATGTAGTCTCTATTGAAGTCCAAATCAAGACCTTTACTATTGGTATATAGGTAGCCAGAAAGCCAAATGACACCTCAAAAATCAATCCACAGGAAAAATATAAATTATAGTGTGTAAGTGTGTGTTTGTGTAATAGTCATGACTAAAATACGTTCCACATCAGATTAATTCATCTATCACTAATCCCTCTTCATAGGAATTGGGTAGACAGATAGGTAGATGGCCAAGGCTAGTTAAATCTTCTTCTGTGCCCTTCCCTTGAGCCCCATGCTTGCTCTTACCAGATGGTGATATCTATAGAAACACAGGTGCCTGCTATATAACTCCAGATTTCCCTGTATGAGGTATTTTTTCTTAATCTTGGCTGTTGTCGCTACAGTTGTGATGATGTCTGCTCTTATCAGCATGCGTTTCCTTTTAGCCCTTTCCTCAGCTCATTTACTCTACGTGAGGGACCCATTTCCCAGGCAAGGCTACAAATCCTGCAATAACCGTTGTCTATTCTGCTTTGTGCATTCACAACTGCTTGGTTCATTTTCCCACCCAGACTGTCCACTGAGATTCTCCAAGTTAGACTGTCATCATGGCACCTGTTTCTCGAGAGAACATACTTTGCTGGCTCCCTGCTTCCAGCTCCAATTGCAAGAATAGGTCTGGGCTATTATTAGTTCTTCTAAATTCCATGATAAATCAGATATCACTGTATTCACAATCCTCTAAATGGCCAGACCTGGTGATTAGTCGTCATGTCAATGACCTCCCTGTCAAGTCTTTATTGATCTTGTCAACCGTCCTTGCTCTATTTTTGAGTTAGATACAATGTCTCAGTCATGTCTCCTGGCCAACACCACACCACAAGCCCACTGATTAAATCTCTGCATGTTCTTACAACCCTCACATTTACTAAATCTTCCACTGCATTCCTGGCTGCGCCATGGTGATAAGATATCGATCCTGCATGAGAAGAACCATCTTTAATATAATGAAGATATAACTTACCTGCACTGAAGAGCTACACTGATCAAGTATAAAAACTCTTGTCAGCACTTTTAATTCATTTACTTCTTGTGTAAATACTGTATGTGATTCACATCTCTTCAGGATCCCCTGTCTCCAGATTCAGATAGATACCTACTTAGGTAGATGAGAGAGAGAGAGAGAGAGAGAGAGAGAGAGAGAGAGAGATAGATAGATAGATAGATGATACATAGATATGTAGATAGATAGATATGTAAGTAGATAGATAGATGATTGATTGATAGATTGATAGATGATATTGCCCCAATAGTATTCTTTCTTCTACTCTGAATAATAATAAAAATTCCTATAAACTTTAAATAAGGCTTGCACCTGTAAATGTTATAAATCACCAATAAGAAATAGACATGAGTGCCATGTGCTGTATTCTTAATAATTTGATGTACAAGTTGAATTTTAACACACTGGAATGAATATTGGATCACAAAAAAAAATGCAGGCATTTATTGTTACTCTTGATGATGAAACCATAACTGGGCTGTTAATGTTTGAAATTATCTGAATTCAATGAAACAGTTGCCAGTTTACATAATTATCGTTACAGAAATATACAGAGCTTGGTTATGTAGTCAAGGGGTTTAAAAAGAATAATTGCTTCTGCTCATAATTTTGTTACATGCACACATTTCCATGGCAAAGGGCCAGATGCATTTAAATAGAATTCAAAGATGACAAGGAGGATTAATGGCCTCTAATGAGCAATTGATTCCCAATAAACAGAGATGTTAAAAACCCCGTCTCAACTTCCTTTAGTACAGGAGAGCCTTTCCATTTGCTGTGGTTCTTCATTCAAGCTTATTAATGAGGTAAGCAGCAAGAAAGGGAAACAGTTCTCGAATTTTATTATTCAAAGATAATGAATCCGAAATTGTGAAGATAAATGGAACTCTTCAGTTAAAAAATATGTGTGTGCAGAAATAACTTAGGGTGTCTAGCAGTTCACTTAAACCATGACCTAGGTATTCGGTCTTAAAGTCACTAAAATGATTGGGGGGAAAAATGGATTAAAAAAATGTATTGTACTATATTATTATCTCAAAGACTGATTATTATGCAAAAGTGTGTTCCAATTTCAATTTTAAAAACTACTAATTTGCTCTCAACAGCTGTAATTTGAGATCCCACAGGATGACACATAAGGATACACAGGAAATTTTGGTAGGCTATTGTTGGTTTGGTGACTTGATTCACCAGTGCTGCTTAGCCGAGATTTCCACTGTCTGAAGCTGTAATAACATGGCAGCTACAGTGTAATTCATCACATCCAGGATCTCATAATACACAGACACAATAAGGACCTAAAAATGTACTAGAGAGATCATAAGGTGTATCTTTTAAATATTTTTCACCTTAGTTAGATTTTGAGGCAGCGAAGCAGAGAAGAGTTAGAAGAGTATCTTGACAATGCATAGATGACATTGGGGGCAATAACCTCTTGTGCTGGTTTCCTGAAGTCTGTTGAGGTCTTGCTAGTATACGACATATTAAAGGTGTGTGAGGTCTACATTGAGTCTGACTATATGTCACAATTCACTTCATCAAGCAAATGTTTTTTGCGTTGTTATCATAAGTCATAATTGTGTAATTGGTGATAAAAAGATCATAGCTGCAATAGAAACATATTATTTCAACTAGTAAATTATCTTTCATAATAATTATTATTTTTAAAAAAAATTGTTTCATACTATGGTTATTCACTTATGACTTACTAGGATACTATCTTGCTTTTTGAGATATAAATATACACACCGTCAATTAATTTTCATTGAAAACAGTAGTCAAGCACAAGAAATTCTAATGTTTGTTAATACTCAACTAGCATTTAAAGGAAAATTTATTATTATAAATCTATCGTGTCAAAACTTGGCTTATATTGTCTCTTTATGCTTCACGATTTTAAATTGTCTTGTTGATGTCTTTCATATAAATCTGTAAGTTTTAACCATTAATAATCATGTTCCCCTTTGAGAATCTCTTAAAATTCAACTTCTCACCAAGAAAATGCATACACTTAATTATATAAACACAATATATTACATATATTTTCGGAAGATAATCCAGTTGAGAAATACATTAAATGCTGTGAATAACAGTGCATAACTTTCTGAAGATACAGCCTATGAAATTACAACTCAATTTGGAAATGAAGAGATATTCTTTCGAAGAATTACCTTTGGATTAAAATTTAATTTTCTATCCAAATTATTGATAGATTAATATTCTGCCACAAATATATGGTTGCAGTTTGCCTCCGTGATGGAAAATAATTATTAGGCCAGTCTTGTGATAAAGTTATCATGAATTTAGGTCAGAATATCAAGCGTTTATAAGCATGACCTTATGTGAAAGTGATCTATGATTTATGTGCCTGCATATATGGGATACAGCTCTGTTAAGGCTCCACTGCTATTGTAATGAACAAACTACAATCCTATGACATCTTTTTTAAATGTAATTGAGTCTCATCATCCTTCTGTGCTTCTGGGGACCAGAGCAGCTGAGAAGATTCAATGCCATTATTAGCTTGTCTTTGGAACATTTCCAGAACCGGACAGGTGATACCATAAATATACCCCCCAGGGTTACCTTTTGCAGTAAGCCAGTGGCTCTACAAGGTGACTCCTTCTAGATGTAAATTGATTTTAATGATTTCTTTCTTTCTCCTGGGAAGGATTTATGTGGGCATCATTCATGTGACACCCTGGGAATGGCAGACGTTGGGACCATATGTGCCCCGGAGCGCAGCTGTGCTGTGATCGAAGATGATGGCCTCCACGCAGCTTTCACTGTGGCTCACGAAATTGGTATGCAGCGCCTTTTCTCTTTCCTCGCCAAATCAAACACTTGTAACAGCTGCAACGGGAACCCAAGTATTTGGCAATTAATTCCAGATTTCCCCTGGTTCAGATGTACCGTTGGGGATTAAATTTGTTTATATTTGCACTTTTAGGGTTAACTAACAGAGGAGAGAGAAGGCAAAGGCAGGCACACAATAGATGTTTCTTTGGTGACGGGGTCATTTAAAAGCATAAGAGAAATTTGCTACTGCTACTGTCTTTTAAGCATCCTTAACCGACTCTTAGAAGAAATTTGTCACAGTAGACTATGGAATGCAGAGATGTTCCTCTTAGAAGGTAGTCAAGATGCTACTGATTCATCCAGGGCTAAGCAGTTTGCACAGAAATTGATCATGTTTTATTCCATCGTGAGTGATAATAGTCAGCTCCTTTTGTTGGTAATCGATAGCTTATGGTAAACATGGCTGCCTTGTTTTGAGTAGCAAAGCAAATGAAACCAAGCCCACAGTCAACGGGGCATGTTTTCGAATGTCACTAACCTGATTTATTTGTCATAAGAAACACATCTAAATCTAAAACTAGAAGTTGAGGACTGAGTTATTGTTGAAAAATATCCCAGATTAGGAATATGTGTTTCCTAATCATCAACCTAGGATACCAGGTAGATGAGAAGTTAGCTTAGTACTAAGGATTAGATGTTAGAATTAGACACATCTGGGCTCAGTTCTTGCTAAAGTACTTTCTACGTGTGTCACATTGGTCTTATTATGTAAACTCTCTAAGCTTCAGTTTTCATGTCTGAAATATGGGAATAACAGGGCCTATTTTATGGAGTTATTTTGGGGTCAAATTGAGTAGATTACAGATATCGTCTGTTATTTATAGCCACATAGACATCTGTTTTGCTTTTTAATTAAATAGTTCATTTACTTTTGTAATGTATCATTTTTAAGCATCATCTTTTGGGTGGCAAAGTATAGTTTGATAATTATTGTAATTTTTGCTGTATTTTATTTAAAAGGTAATTTTTAAGCTAAAACTAAAATTTTTAAATAGAAATCAAAACTTTTTTTTCACATTCCTAGTAGGCAGAGCAGATTTCACAAGGTGCCAATGTCTACCTGCTATGTTGTTTTTGGTGAGTTAAAATAATTTCGAATCAAAGGTGTAATTGCATAAGTCAACATATTGTAGCAGTAAATTAGAGATCAGTAGTTAAATTTTAGTTAAATTTTCTGATGTGCTGGTCTAAAAGAGCTGAAAGTGTTTTTAAGACCCATATGCCATTTGTGCTTCAGGGATGGGAGCACGTCTTCACTTGTCTCTCACTCTTGCCTATTAAAGGAACTGATTAAAACTGCAGCCTAATGTAGATACTTAATCAATATTTATTACATATCTATGTATATTCATGAGTAAGTGGGAGAAATGCGTAAGCTGCCCAAGGCAAACTTTCAATTTTGCAGTGGAAATTCAGATCAGTCCAAATACTCAAGAGGATTGTAATTAAACAGAGAAGATTTTAAAAGTACACCAGTAATTAATTACCACTATTCAGGATGAGAGAAGTCCCATAAGAAAGATTCTAAATCCCTGGGAAGGCAGAGGCTAGTTCATCTCAGACTGGGTGGAGGAATGGAGAGGAATAAGGAACAGAGTTGAATTGTAGCATCACCTATCCCTAAAGTCATGAGGCCTAAATCCAGATCTTCGAAAGAAGAGATTACAAATTCCCTGAAGGAAGAACTTTCTTCCTTGAACCCTATAGTGATCTGTTTTCACACATTGACAGCATAAGGCAGTTTCCTGCATGAGAACCAGTAAATGGAACTTCTCTGGGGCTTCGTTGACCCCTCTGGGGCTTCGTTGACCCTCAAGCCACCTGGGCTGGAATGAAGAACCTTCCAGCATCTCCTTTCCCAGCCCTCTTAAAGGTCTAAACCTAGGATCTTGGGTTACCAGGCATACGCAGCAGTCTGAGAAGGAAGAAGCCAGATGCTGATGAGAACAAATGTTTTATTAAAACTAGACATGTACAATAAGAACTTTTCTTAATAGTACAAGTAAACTGGACATACTTTTGCAATACAACAGTGTAGGAGAAATAAGAGTTTCTTTGTGAAAACTCAAACTTGAATCTTTGATCTACGACTATAACCGTGGGTCCCCTTTAATTTCTTGATTGAATCATCTCTATTTACTTCTTTAGAAGCCTCTATAATTAATTCTCCATTCAAAGTCCGCATCTTTCATTTCTCTTTTTTGCATTACATATGGCCTAATCTGAGAAATTTAAGGTCTGGAGATACGAGAATATGGATTTCATTCCCCCTTCATAAAGGGATCTGGCTTTTATCCTCTTTATTTTCTAATTGCTTTATTATTCTTTAATTTCACTTTTTGCCCTAAAATTGTGAACATGTGTTATAAAGTATGAGCCTTACAAAATTTAGAGAAGATAACCTTACAAAACATTTCCTAATCATCTGTATATGATTACAAAGTCTTGCCTCTGCAGCTAGTATGCCATTTGCAGATCTGTTTCCAGTGCTTTATTCTTAGATTGTTGCATGAAGCCATACAATGAGCTAATGATGCTCTGAGTTCTAATTCTACTTCATTCTCCTCATGTAATTTCCTCCCTGCCCTTTTATTAGAAATTTACTACTTTCCCGCTTTGGAGGTTATAGATGCAGGCTACATATGGTAATGAAAATGATGCTGTGATACCTCAGTTTTCCTAGAGTGTTTTGAAGTTGCTTGAGCCCATTTCAAAATGTGCAATTTGCTTCATGCACACAGTCTGTGAATGTTCCTGTGCTCAAAGCATAAGCTGTGAAGAAAATTCCCAGGCTGTTTCCATAATCTTCCTACTTTATTTCTTCTGTAAGCCATAAAGGATACATTTGGTTAAGAATACTGCTTTATTAACTGACTTAAAGTCTCTTGTAGGCTGCCCCACTGCTTCCTTTTTCTATATATAGTGGTTTAAAATACAAAATCATTGTATTTCAGTCAAAATTTTCTTCGTTCTTTTACCTCCTCCATCTAATATATGTCCTATACTGAGAATTAACAAGAAAGATGAAGGCAAGCTTAAAGTCCCTTCTGGAACCTTTTCTATCCATAGTGTTGAAGTCAGGATGAACAGGATTAAGGGAACAGTTCAGAAAGTGACTCTTTTCAAGTACCCCGTGTTAACTGGAACACTTCTCTTTTCCTGCTAATTCTTTCTAAAAAAGAGCTAGATTTTGGAGGCGCATAGTCAACTAATGTCAATACAGACTTCTGGAAAATAGATTTTGATGACTATAGATGCTCCGTAGGCAGTAGTAATTTGCGTTCCTCCTTTCTATGTTGTGTGCATGTAAACATTGAATAAATTGTTAGGGCATTAACGAAAGTTTCTTTAAACTATCAAGAACACAGTCCCCATCCTTGTGCCTTGAGTGAAGGCAAGAATGTGGTTATGGGCATTTTACAATCCAAATGTGAACTGTAGAAAGTTCCAAGTGAATGTAAGTTTACATTTTGAGTTTATATTTTTAACTTGTCAAACTTTTATTATTGGCTTGTAATAATAAAGATTTCACCTGCTGCACACATGGTTCTTCAAAATAATAATTTTATTGATGTTGGGCCAGTTTCTAATATGCTAGGGGGAACAATCTGATTTTATTTAGACTAATGAAATCCATGATTTGCAAACTTGCCGAAGCTTTGCTTTATGGTAGTTAATTATAAAATGTGCTAAATGAATCTCTTCACTATGAAAGATTCCAAAATGCTTCCTAAGCTAAAGCCAGGCAACTGAAAAAATCAAAGCCAAATATTCAACTGGAGACTTAGGAAATGCTTGAGACACAACAGCATGGCTGAGCGTGTTTTGCTGTGGTTAGAGTAGGTTCGTTGGTTGTGCTGATCCTTGTGTGACTGCTCCCATAGATGATTAGATTAAACAAGGCTGTGTTTTGAAAAGCTGCAGAGGCCCTGGAAACACCATAGACCAAAGCCAAGTGAACAGAATCAGATGTCAGGACTGGCTGTGAGATGTGAAGTGAAAGGAAGCTAGGATTTAACTCGGTATTTACCCACAAACCCATAGCTTTAATCGACACAAACTGAGCATTTTTTTTTTTTTATCTAGTTTGGAGCAATGCCACACTGTGTCATTCTTGGCCCCCAGATGAAAGGTGGGACTAGATCTTTGCTATATGTCTAGCAATACTGAGAGATTTAGTGTGTAAGGTCAGATATTTTTTTAAATCAAATCCAAATTCATAGTTCTTTAGGGAAGGCATATAGATTATCTATCACATGTGTGGAAACCATAACCTGTTGAAAGTGTCATGAGAAATAAATATATTCATACACTTAATGCATGATTTTTTTTTATGATTAGAAAATATCTCCTCTCCCAAATCAAGAGTGTCTAATAATATTGAAATGTTTCAAAACTACTGAAGACTAGAATACCCATAAGTAAAACTAACAAACCCATGACATCAGTGAAAACAACAAAATTGGCTAACAATCACTGGGCATTGGTTATTTGTCACATATACAGTCTAAAAAGTTTGCATCATTTAATACTCACAAAAGTCATGAGGTAAGTACTTTTAATGGATCACCAAGAAAGGAGGAAACTGACCCACAGAGACATTTCTAAACATGTCTAAGGTCAACGACTAGTGTGCTGCTGGGTTAAAACTCAAACCCACTTAATTTGGCTCCAGAGCCCAAGATTTTGACACTACTCTTTCTTTCATGGTTTATTAGCATTCCGTTTTTTTTTCCAACCACAACTGACATTCTACATTATTTCAAATTAGTTTCAGGCGCACAGTACAGCCGTCACACACCCCTACGATCCACAACGCGATTTCGTTGACAAGTCCAGCCCCGACCCAGCACCATACGTGGTCATTACAACACCACTGACCATGCTCCTCATGCTGCACTCTACATCCTCATGACTACTTTGCAACCATCAAATTTGTACTTCC